TAATCATCAAAAGTATTCTTGCTATGATAAATTTAAAATTCTTTGCTATAAGAGTCAAACTATTTTACTGTAATCATTAAAAGCATTCTCTATAATAATTCCAAAATTCTTGCTATAAGAATCAAAAATATTTTTACTATAATCATTAAAAGAATTCTTACTATAGTCATTAAAAAACGTTCTTATTATAATGATGTTTAAATCTTAAAAAGCTAAGAATCAAAATATTTTTTACTTTAATCATTAAAAGCATTCCCACTATAATAATTCCAAAATTCTTGCTATAAGAATCAAAAATATTTTTGCTATAATCAATGAAAGCATCCTCACTATAATCATTAAAAAAACACTCTTACTATAATGATTTTTAAAATCTTGCTGTAAGAATCAAACATATTTTTACTATAATCATTAAAAGCATTCTCACGATAATCATTAAAAAATTGTTATAAGAATCAAAAATATTTTTACTTTAATCATAAAGAATATTCTTAAAGTTCTGGTCATAAAATGAAGGATACAAGTCCTATAAAATGAATAATGAAATAAACAAGAACCATTGTGTAAACAAATATTCGCTGAAAAATGTTAAGTGTAATGCATTCATGATAAGTTCAGATTAAAAGGAAAAAAATGAAAATTAAAAGGGAAAAAATACGAATAAAAATTAAAAGCTCCTTTTCTCTGAAATGTTTTTTTTTTTTCTTCTTTTTTTTTTTTTTTTTTTTTTTTTTTTTGGTATGGTGGTCTATTACACTAGAACAAAGAAAGAGAGAGAGAGAGAGAGAGAGAGAAGAGAGAGAGAGAGGAGAGAGAGAGAGAGAGAGAGAGAGAGAGAGAGAGAGAGAGAGAGAGAGAGAGAGAGAGAGAGAGAGAGAGAGGAGAGAGAGAGAGAGAGAGAGAGAGAGAGAGAAAGAGAGAGAGAGAGAGAGAAAGAGATAGAGAGAGAGAAGAAAAGAGAGACAGACAGACAGAGACAGAGAGAGACAGACAGACAGACAGAGACAGACAGACAGAGAGACAGAGACAGAGAGACAGAAACAGAGACAGAAGAAAAGAATAAAAAAAAAACAGCAAAGTAACGAAGCCACGCAGGGTGACACTCTCCAGGTGGCCCTTCCCGTTTTCCTTGGTCGCACCCCCCCCCCCCCCCCACCCCCCCCCCGGGCATCCTCACTGCCCCCAGGGATAAAAACAGGCCTAGGAGGCGCAAGGGGACGCGACCTCCACCGTGGAGCGAGGGCGCCATCCATCCATCCATTAGGAAGGGGATGGAAGACATGATTCATGGGGCCGTAGGGGGGGGGGGGGGTATACGGGCGGTCCATTAATAATATACTTTGTTAGACTTCTTTATAATCTTTAATCACTGTCTCGATTCGTCCAAAGATCCATCGCTAAACCATAGATCATCAACTGCTTCTTAGTAAAAAAAAATAATAAATAAATAAAAACGTGTGTTCAACTAGTAAATAAATTTGCATATTTCTCCAGTTGAAAATATTCCCAACTTTGAACGAGCCATTGAACACTTTGTAGCACTGTCATAACGTTGTTTTTATGGTTAGAATCAGTCTTAAAGTACCAATATTGAGGAAAAATTATATCATCTTAACGTCAACCTATTAAAGACAGCCTCCGTGACACCAGCCAATCATAGGCCACTATTTTGACATTCCTCGGTCATAAGAATCACACCAGCCAATCAGAAGTCACCTCTCAAACACCGGCCAATCACAGGACGCTTCTCTATCTACAGCCAATCAGAGGACATCTCTCCAACAACCAACCAATCAGGAGACACCTCTCAAATATCAGCCATACAGGCAGCCCCACCCCCCTTCTCCCGGACACCGATCCCTCAATAAAAAATAAATAAATAATATAAATAAATAATTCAATAAATAGATAAATTAAAAAAAAAAAAAAAGTCAACCATCCACAAGCCACGTTCGTAACGCTCTTCCTCTCTCCTCGGCCCCTCCTTCGGCTGCAGGTTCGGCGTCGGCTTCGGCTTCTCGATGATCTACGGGGCGCTCCTCACCAAGACCAACAGGATCTCCAGGATATTCGACTCCGCGTCCAGGTCAGCGCGCCGACCCGGGTTCATCAGCCCCAAGAGCCAGGTCATCATCACGTGCTCTCTTGTGTCCGTCCAGGTGAGGCCGTTGTGGTTGTTGTTGTGGTTGTTGTTGTGGTTTGTAGCGTCGTTTCCTCATCAGCATCATCTGCATCAATAGCATCACCATTACAGATACAAATATGATAGATTTTCACGCTATACATCATCTCTTGCTCTCTCTCTCTCTCTCTCTCTCTATCTGTCTCTATCTATCTATCTATTTATCTCTTCTCTCTCTCTCTCTCTCTCTCTCTCTCACTCACACACACAACACACACACCAACACACACACACACACACACACACATTACTCACTCTCTCTCTCTCTCTCTCTCTCTCTCTCTTTTCTCACTCACTCACTCACTCCCTCTCTCTCTCTGTCTCTTCCCTTCTCCAGCTTTACATATCCCTTTTCTGCACAGAGCGAAATTCCGGTCGAGAACATGCTAAGACTACCTCATCCGACTTACTAAAAATAATTGAATCTGTAAGCAATTCTATTAATACATTATTAACTAAATGCTGAGGCTGAGCTGACGAAAGAGCCTCTGAATCGAGGGCGACTGCCAGAGGACGGTCAGCCCGAAGAAAAAGATTTGCCGAAGTTGACTTGCGAGTCCGGGGGCGCCGTGTGGGACGTCGAGGCAAGCACACCGCCGTCCCATCGATCGCCCTTTTGATGTGTCAACTTTCCACATTCAATTTCGAAGTTTTCAAATAATTCTTCATTCTCAGACGCGAGAGGGTGTTCATCTTCTGGGGGTGATGGAGGGAGTTATGGTCTCTATTTTCACCTTTCATGGCGAGGATGTATATGGAGGTGGTCGCGTGGTAACTTTACATGTCAGGGGTTCGTTTTTTGGAAAGGCAAAGATACGTGAATGGTCGTCTTCTGTGTCCCTTTCTCTTACGAGGATTTAACAAAAATACTTGTTTCATACACGTGAATGGTGGCATGTGTCCCTTTCTCATACGAGGATTTAACAAAAATACTTGTTTCATAAAGATACGTGAATGGTGGCATCGTGTCCCTTCTCATACGAGGATTTAACAAAAATACTTGTTTCATAAGGATACGTGAATGGTGGCTCTTTACGTCCCTTCTCATACGAGGATTTAACAAAAAAACTTGTTTCATAGGGATACGTGAATGGTGGTCATTGTGGCCCTTCTCATACGAGGATTTAACAAAAATACTTGTTTCATAAAGATACGTGAATGGTGGCCCTGTACGTCCCTTCTCATACGAGGATTTAACAAAAATACTTGTTTCATAAGGATACGTGCATGGTGGCACCGTGTCCCTTCTCATACGAGGATTTAACAAAAATACTTGTTTCATAAGGATACGTGAATGGTGGCCCTGTACGTCCCTTCTCATACGAGGATTTAAGAATTTACAAAAATTACTTGTTTCGTAATGGTTTCACTTTAGGGTCCCTTGCTCCCCTCATTCTTTGGCAACACATTTCCCTCATTAGGTTTTGATCTTATTCACTGTCCCAACTTGATATCTGTCACTTGATGAAGCTTATAAACAGTAACTCCCTCTTGCTGACCATCTCCATATGAAATCGAATTGCAAGTGCAATTATGCGATGAATGGCATTCTCAACACGGTGGCTTGCAATGCCACGAAGCTCTTGCATGCCTCGAGGACTCATTACGCACGCAACACACGCACACACGCACACACACACACACAAACCTGACTGATTGGTTCACACACCCTTCTACACTTTCACTCACGCGCTAACTCACTTATCTATTCATTCATTCGGTTGCTCACGCTATCTTTCCCTCCTTCCCTCTCTCACTTCCTCATCCACCCACACACCTATTTACTCACTCCTTCACTCACCCACCACTCCTCCTTCACTCATTCATTCAACCCACCCACTCACGCTATTCATTCCCTCATCCACCAACCCATCTACCCACCTATCCATTCAACCACTACCCCCCACCCATCCCATCTACCTACCCCACCCCCCACTTTAGCCTCACTCGCGCCACTACCCTCCACCCTACCCACCTACCCACCACAACACCTTACCTACCCACCTACCCACCTACCTACCTACACCTACCCCACCACCTAACCCACGCTACCTACCCCTCACCCACCTACTACTTAACCACACCCACCTACCCACCCTCCCTATCCACCACCGCATTACCACCACCTACCCACGCCACTCATCCACCTACCCACCCACTCACCGCACCTACGCTACCCCACGCTACCCACTTACTACTCACTCCACCACCCACCCACCCACTCACTCCTGCCACACCCCTACCACCTTAACACCACCCCATCCACAGCACCACTCCACCCCTACCACTAACGCCCTCAACCAACCGCACCTATCCAGCCACTCCACCTACCCCACCGAACTTGCCACTACCTACGTACCACCCACCTCCACCTTACACACCACTCACTCCACATACCCACCCACTACCCACACACCACCCACACCCCCCCACAACTACTACCTCACCGCACCACCCACTCACCCACGCTACATCAACAACCACGCCACCCACCCACCCACCCTACCCACCCCCACCTCCTCCCATGCAGGTGGTGGCAACGGTGGTGTGGCTGATCATCGAACCCCCAGGAGCCAGGTTCGACTACCCAACCCGCGACCAAGTGATTCTCAAGTGTAGGATCAAGGACTCTTCGTTCCTGCTGTCTCTCGTCTACAACATGTTCCTCATCACCACCTGCACCGTCTACGCCGTCAAGACACGCAAGATCCCCGAGAACTTCAACGAAAGCAAGTTTATAGGTTTCACGATGTACACCACCTGCATCATCTGGCTGGCCTTCGTTCCCATCTACTTCGGGACGGGGAACTCCTTCGAGGTGAGTTGCTTTCATCTGTTTCTTTTTCTCGTTCTCTTGCTTTCTTTTTTTTCGTTCTTTCTTTGTCTTTTTTCTGGTTCTCTCTTTGTCTCTCGTTCTCTCTTTCTCTCTTTCTGTGTGTGTCTGTGTCTGTACACCACCTGCATCATCTGGCTGGCCTTCGTCCCCATCTACTTCGGGACGGGGAACTCCTTCGAGGTGAGTTGCTTTCTCTGTTTCTTTTTCTCGTTCTCTTGCTTTCTTTTTTTTCGTTCTTTCTTTGTCTCTTTTTTCTGGTTCTCTGTCTTTGTCTCTCGTTCTCGTCTTTCTCTCTTTCTGTGTGTGTCTGTGTCTGTACACCACCTGCATCATCTGGCTGGCCTTCTCGTCCCATGCTACTTCGGGACGGGGAACTCCTTCGAGGTGGTTGGCTTTCTCTCCTCTTTGTTTTGGTTTTTTTTGTTTTGTTTTGTTTTTTTCGTTTTTTTTCGTTTTTTTCTTCTTTCTTTGTCTTTTTCTGGTTCTCTCTTTTGTCTCTCTCTTTTTCTGGTTCTTTCTTTGTCTTTTTCTGGTTCTTTCTTTCTCTTTTTCTCGTTCTTTCTTTTCTCTCTCTTTCTCTTTCTCTCTTTCTGTGTGTGTCTGTGTCTGTACACACCTGCATCATTCTGGCTGGCCTTCGTCCCCATCTACTTCGGGACGGGGAACTCCTTCGAGGTGAGTTGCTTTCTCTCTCTTTGTTTCTTTCTTTTTTTTTGTTTTTTTTTTCGTTTTTTTCGTTTTTTTCTTCTTTCTTTGTCTTTTTTGGTTCTCTTCTTTGTCTCTCTTTTTCTGGTTTCTTTCTTTGTCTTTTCTGGTTCTTTCTTTCTCTTTTTTCTGGTTCTTTTCTTTCTCTTCGTTCTCTTCGTTTTCTCTTTCTGTGTGTGTCTGTGTCTGTACACCACCTGCATCATCTGGCTGGCCTTCGTCCCCATCTACTCGGGACGGGGAACTCTTCGAGGTGGTTGCTTTCTCTCTCTTTGTTTTCTTTCTTTTTTTTTTTGTTTTTTTTTCGTTTTTTCGTTTTTTCTTCTTTTTCTTTGTCTTTTTCTGGTTTCTCTCTTTGTCTCTCTGGTTCTCTCGTTTTTTCTTTCTTTCTTTCTTTTTCTGGTTCTTTCTTTCTCTTCGTTCTCTCTCGTTCTCCGTTTTCTGTGTGTGTCTGTGTCTGTACACCACCTGCATCATCTGGCTGGCCTTCGTCCCCATCTACTTCGGGACGGGGAACTCCTTCGAGGTGAGTTGCTTTCTCTCTCTTTGTTTTCTTTCTTTTTTTTTTGTTTTTTTCGTTTTTTTCGTTCTTTTCTCTTTCTTTTTTCTTTCTTTCTTCTTCTTCTCTCTTTCTGGTTCTTTCTTTGTCTTTTTCTCGTTCTTTCTTTCTCTTTTTCTGGTTCTTTCTTTCTCTCTCGTTCTCTCTTTCTCTCTTTCTGTGTGTGTCTGTGTCTGTACACCACCTGCATCATCTGGCTGGCTTTCGTCCCCATCTACTTCGGGACGGGGAACTCCTTCGAGGTGAGTTGCTTTCTCTCTCTTTGTTTCTTTCTTTTTTCTTTCTTTTTTTTCGGTTTTTCTCTTTTTCTCTTTTTCTTGTTCTTTCTTTCTTTTTCTCGTTCTTTCTTTTCTTTTCTCGTTCTCTCGTTCTTTCTTTTTTCTCACTTCTCTCTTCTCGTTCTCTCGTTTTTCTCGTTCTTTCTTGTCTCTTTTCTCGTTCTCTCTCTCTCTTTTTTTCTCGTTCTCTCTCTCTCTTTTAGTTCTTTCTTTCTCTCTCTCTCTCTCGTTCTCTCTTTCTGTGTGTGTCTGTCTGTCTGTTTGTCTGTCTTGCCTTTCTCTTTCTCTCTCTCTCTCTCTCTCTCTCTCTCTCTCTCTCTCTCTCTCTCTCTCTCTCTCTCTCTCTCTCTCTCTCTCTCTCCCTCCCTCCCTCTCTCTCTCTCTCTCTCTCTCTTTTTGACCGCTGGGGGGGGTGGTGTCGTCGGCGTGTGTCGGGCGTGTGGGCTTTGTTATTTAGTGTTATCATTATTATAATCGTTGTTGTTGTTATTATCATTATCGTTAGTTATTTTTCTTATTATCATTATCATTATCATCGTTATCATTATCGTTATCATTTTTTTTCTTATTATCATTATCATCATTATCCTTATCCTTATCATTATTATCATTGGCATTATTATCATTACTTTTCTTAATATCATTAATATCACTGTTGCCATTACAATCGTTATCGTTATTGCTATTATCATTAATGTTATTATCATCATCATCGTTATCATTTCATTGGTTGTCAATATTATCATTATTGTGATCACTATGATAATAACAATTATTGTTTTTCATCCTTGCCATCATTATGATTGGTTGTCAATATTATCATTATTGTGATCACTATGATAATAACAATTATTGTTGTTATCATCACTAGTATTAGTAGTAGTAGTAGTAAATCTAGTCGTATTATTATTATTCTTTTTTATCATTATCATTACCCTTTTCCTTTTCATTCTTACTCTCTGTTAAACGTTAATAAATACGTTCTTACTAGCTTAATTAATTCCATTTTTAATTTTACGAGAAGCATCAGCCACTGAAAAGCGCAGGAGGCTATATAACTATTGTTTGATAATCATAGCAAAAATAAATGAAATAAAATAAAATAAAGGTGAACTATTACATTTCATAATATTAGTTTTAATTGACTTGAGCGTTTGTGATGTGATAATCTTGTTCATATCATTTTCATGAAACACGTTTTCCTCCTGTATTGTGTTCATACCTACATGAAAATATCGTTCACGGAGACAAAAACGAAGCATAAATAAAACACTTCAGGCAATGGCTCTCGCAGCAACTTGCTATCTAATTCATTCTGAATGTGTTGCACATTAATGCTTGCTTTTTAGGAGCTAATGCTTACATAAACACTTCGGGGGCATAAAAGTGCTATTTTTGAGAATATATGCGTACCCTCGAGCAGTGATTATGTAACGTAAGCGGAGTTTTATCATCCCACACTGCTGAAATTTTCGCTACACGGTACAAGCATATTAGTCGCCCATTGTTTAGCGCTTTTGTGCTCGACAGTGGATTCGCTCCATTTTCTATTTCGGTGGAGGGACTTTTGAATTCCTTGAACAAAAGCGGGTCAGCTGTTGCAACGCTGAGAAACGGCCATGCATTTCATCAATCGCCTGCATGACTTTTGTCTTTTCTTTCCTTTTTTATACATTTTTTTTTTCTTTCCTTTTTTATACTTTTTTTTTCTTTCTTTCTTTTTCTTTCCTTTTTTATACAAGGAAATTGAAATTCAGCGATATATGATATTTCCTCCACGTGCCTGTTGCAGCCATCATTTTTTTTTTTTTTTTTTTTTTTTTTTTTTTTTAATACAAGAACAAGAAAAAATCATACATCAACAAGCGCCATCATCATAAAACGATTCCGTAATCTCAGCCTTTACACTTACGTTCTGAAGCATCGTTCATTCTGCAAAATTTCGCTCAAGAAACAAAATCATAAATACCTCAAGCGAGCTGCAGAGGCAAAGAGATCCGAGGAAGAACGACATAAATAATAAAGATTTGCAAGAGGAAGACTGAACGTTGCAACATCTTAGTTTTATTAGCGGCAGGCAATTTTCTCACGCTAGAATAAAAAAAAAATAATAATAATAGACATCATATTATTCATTGTTACAACGGGACTTCCGGAAACCCGCATCTCTTGAATACAAGAAAGAAAAGAAAAGAAAGAAAAAAAGAATATAATTTTCTCTCCGCCTCCAAAAACAAACCATTCTGGAAAATTCAAAACTTTCTTCATCATCGGTACACCTAATTCGAAATCTATTAGCAAACAACTTCTCTTTCTCTTTCTTTCTCTCTCTCTCTCTCTCTCTCTCTCTCTCTCTCTCTCTCTCTTCTCTCTCTCTCTCTCTCTCTCTCTCTCTCTCTCTCTCTCTCTATCTTCTATCTATCTCTCTTCTCTCCTCTCTCTCTCTCTCTCTCTCTCTCTCTCTCTCTCTCTCTCTCTCTCTCTCTCTCTCTCTCTCTCTCTCTCTCCTCTCTCTCTTCAAAAAAAAAAAAAAAAAAAAAAACTCTCTCTCTCTCTCTCTCTCAAAAAAAAGTCTCTCTCTCGAAAAAAAAACTCTCTCTCTCTCTCTCTCTCTCTCTCTCTCTCTCTCTCTCTCTCTCTCTCTCTCTCTCTTGCTCTCTCTCTCTCTCTCTCTCAAAAAAAAAAAAAAAAAAAAATCTTACCAAGCTGATTACGTGCTTTATTTGGCAAGAGTTCGCAAACGCATAATTAGGTCTATTATCTTGAGAATCTCCGCTTATACTGAGAGGAGTTTGCGAATGATCCATGTCGTGTCCTAATTTGGTAATCAGGTTGAATGAAGAGAGAGATGGAGACAAAAGGCTAAATAGGCAGAATAGGCAGAATAGGAGAGAAAAGGCGTTATTTATTTTTATTTTTATTTTATTTTTTATTTTTTTATTTTATTTTTTTTTTTGTCCAATTTTCTAACGATCTATCAGACCATCTATGTATCTATATAGTTGTTGTCTGTTTGTCTATCTCGACGTCTATGCATCTTTCGCTTTTATTTCTCTCTCTCTCTCTCTCTTTCTCTCTCTCTCTCTTTCTCTCTCTCTCTCTCTCTCTCTCTCTCTTCTCTCTCTCTCTCTCTCTCTCTCTCTCTCTCTCCTCTCTCTCTCTCTCTCTCTCTCTCTCTCTTCTCTCTCTCTCTCTCTCTCTCTCTCTCTCTCTCTCTCTCTCTCTCTCTCTCTCTCTCTCTCTCTTCTCTCTCTCTCTCTCTCTCTCTCTCATTCTCTCACTCATCTCTCTCTTCTCTCTCTCTCACACACACACACACACACACACACACACACACACACACACACACACACACACACACACACACCACACACACACACACACACACACACACAAACTTAATAGCAACTTATCAAAAATCGTACCTCATTTTGACTCCC